GAGTCTCCTGCCTCAGCCTCCCAAGTAGCTGGGACTACAGGCGCCCGCCACAACGCCTGGCCATTTTTTGGTTGCAGCCCTCATTGTTGTTTGGCGGGCCCGGGCTGGGGATTCAAACCCGCCACCTTAGGTGTATGTGGCTGGCGCCTTAGCTGCTTGAGCCATAGGCGCTGAGCCAAACCTTGCTCTTCTTAAAGGCAATGTTTAATTTTCTCCAAAAAGCATTTTGCAAATAGAGGAAAGGAACACTCTGATCTATTTCAAGCAGCGAGATCCCTTTTCCCTGAATGAGAAGCTGGCATGACAGGCTGTTGCTCGTGGCAAGTTAAATGCTCAGAATGAACTTTCTCTCTCAAAATAAACTTTCCCCTATGTCTTAACCCAGGCTCTTCCTAGAAGCAGAGCCTGAGATGAGGACTTGCTTGCAGGGTGTTGTGAAAACAGAAGAAGAGGGAAAACTAATGCACAAGTTGGTCCTCAAGTTCATTATTGCTCTGAGCAACTGGAGCTCCATCCCTGCAGAATTCCAGCAAGCCCAAAGAATGACCTTAGAGTTGTCTACCTGAGGGAAAGAGCAGACAACAGTTTCCAATGAGTCCTCCAGCATCATTGGTCAAGGGTTGCCCTTAACTCCTTTTTCATACTTCCAGATTGTATGTGTGTATGTGTGTGTGTGCGCGCGCGCGCGTGCGCGCGCCACCGCAGGTGTCAGAGTGTTCCCAACACAGAAGATGCTGGTGCAGGGTTTCATCCAAGGTGAGGTGTTTCCAGCAGTGATGGGTACCTAAGAAAGGTGGACAGTGCCTGAGGCCAAAGGCAGCCCAGGGCACAGAAGGAAATGCTCTGCCAAAGCCACGTGGGAGCCAAGAAAAGACCAGCGTCATCTGCATATCTCCTTAGTCCTTCCCTTGCATCTGAATGGCTTTTTTTTTTAACATGTGCCTTTACAAAGGTAAAATGAATAAACACATTACCAGCTGAATTGCTGGGGAGCCCTGCAGGATGCTCATCAGCTGAGAGGCAGCTGCCAGTGGCCGGACCCTACCGGCTCCTTGGAAGGGAAGCCTGCTTGCAGGAGAAGCTGTCATCAGTACATCTTCAATAGCGGGCCCTCTCATCCACAGCAGGGCTCCTCGCTTGGAGGGTAATTTTTACTCTCACTGTTCAGTCAGTATGACAGCTCTGTCCCTAATGTAATGGCAGTTTTGACTTTAGTTTAAATTTTTCCATAAAGAATCAAAGAGAAAGAGATTCTCTCTCCCTTTTCTCTGCTCCAAAAATTCCACTAAAAAACTTTTCTCATTTAAATCTTTGCCTCCACATTAAATTTCTCATTCATTTTTCAGGTGAATCAAATACAGCATCAACTTTCTTTTTTTTTAAGAGTTTCCAAAAATTTAATCAAACTGTACTGCACATTTTCTCCATACAAGAAAGGTACTAAATAAATTACATTTAGGTGTCCTACTAATATATATATATATATATATGTATTTTAAAAAATCAGATACTTCTCATTTAAGAGAAAGGAGCATGAGTAAAAGATGAGCTATATATCCAACTCAAATTACATTAAAAGCCAAATACAAACAAAAGTGAAATTTTCCTAAAAGGAAATAAATATTCACTATTCCTCTCCTGAAGTAGGTAAAGTACACTAAAGGAAAAACCTATCTGGATTGAGACACTTTCTCACTTTGATTATGTAAATAAAAATAAAATCCATGTTGTCTAAATTGTTAGAGTTGTATAGTTGGAAATCCATATGCTACTCTACGGGCAGGTCAGCTAGGGGAAGTACGTTAGCACGATCATCTGGATCGGCTGTCTGCACACTGGGCAGGGCTTGTTCCTCTTCTTCAGCTTCTTTGCACATGTGAAGCATGCCATAAGATGTCCTGTTTTACCATGGACAGTGCAACCATTTTTAGGTCGACCTTGGCCAATCCCACAAGGTTCAATGGCATTAAGGGGAAAGCTGGATTCCATACTCTCTTCTTTGTCTTGGGTTTCCTCCCTCTCAAACTCTTTGACATCTTCTTGGCTGCTGTAAATAATGCTGTTAGAAGTTGATGGCTGAGAATAGTCCTCACTGTCTTGTGACTGGGAGGCCTGAGTGATTTTATCATCATTTTCCTCCACAGATGACTCTTTGGAATCACTCCCTGTAGTTTTTTTTACAATCCGGAACATCAAAGCCCTCTTCGGCTTGTGCTGAGTTTTCTAGTTTGGCTTTCTCAGAGATATCCCTTCTGTCTTTTCCTTTATCTTCAGGAAGCCAATTGTCACGAAAGGTCCAACATCTTTTGCAATGTGGTGGAAGGGGAGGATTCATTTCATTGCATGAAGTACTTTTCCAATAGTCAGCTAGGGAAATTTCAGGATCTTCTTCAAATGAATCTGTATCACTCTCCTCTGCTTGAGACACAGTAACTTGATACACCTCATCATCTTCATCTGAGAGTTCTTGTCCTTCTTCACTAAGACTATAATCTTCCGAATCAAGAGATTCAACTTCAAATTCTACACTAAACTGATCTGAAACTGAATCCTGATCCAACCAGTCACCTGAATGTTCACTTACACCAGCATCAAGATCCGGGTGAGGCGGTGTCCCTGGAGACTCACTGGGGCTGCTTCTTTCACAGCAGATCTCCCTGATCACACACAGAGCCAGGCTTTCATCAAAGGACAGGGAAATACTATCAGCTCTATGCCATTTTCTCTGTCCTTCTCCAGACAATTCATCTGAATTTTCTTCTGTCTCACTGATGGCTCTCCTTCTGGATGAGGTAGATGATCTGGAAACCCAATTTGAAGAGGAAGGTTTCTCTGGCACAGGATCCTTCTGATCACTCCCATCTTCAAGGTGACATTTGTTCTCACTCACAGATGTACCTGAGTCTGATAATTCCTGCTGATTGACTACTACCAAGTTTCTGTAGATCATTGTATATATCTTCCTGTGCTCTTTCACAGAGAAGCTTGGCACTCCAAACAAATCTCCTAGAAGATCATTTGAACAATATACATATGTTGTTGCTTTTCATCATATAATCGTTTCGTCATAATACACTGGCCAAGATAAAATATAACCTCTTTCATTGTGTAAGTGTCTTTTTGTGTACCAACAGACTTTAACAACTTAAAAAGCAATGGTTTTGGTTTAACCGGGGTCTCCTGTTCCGAAGCTGGAATCTGTGAGGTGGTTACATCAGTAGACACAGACATGTTGGTATTGCACATTTGCCTTGCAGGGGTTTTCACACCTGGAGTTACGGGGGGAGGGGGTCCCTCGAGACTTTCCAGTTCCCTTCACCCGGCACGTGGAAGCCCGACACCCTGGGCCTCGGCGACCATTCCACTCTCAGGCCCCAGCCCGCAGGGAAACCTGAACACAGTAGTCTGGGGAGGAAGGGGGCTCCCGGCGGCAGGACCTCGTAAGTAGGGTCAGGGCCGCCCCTCTAGTTCAGCATCTGGCTCCATCTTCCTTCCAGTCACCAGCATCAACTTTCAAAACCCTGTGTTGTTATCACAGTGACTGAAAATAATTATTATCTGTCAGTGCATTTGCTGGGAACACAGATGAGTCTGGCACTGGCCCTGTTAGATCAGCAAGAGCTTGCCTCTTGAGTGGGGTCTTCATCGGGCTCAATTTAAAACCTTAGTGTTGGCAAGATGGGGTGTTGGGGCAGTTATCCACATAATCTATCTGAGAAACATGCACCTCAGCTGACCCTTATCTCATTTGTTTAAAAAAAAAAAAAAAAAGGTCTTGAAAGCAATTATTTTAGCAAGTGGGGCTTTAGCTGGAATGTTCCCAAGGATTGCCTTAACCTATGCTTCCTCTAGCTCAGAAGTTCTCAACTGAGGATGATTTTGTTCCCTAGGGGACATTCGGCAATTTCTGGAGACATATTTGGCTTTCACAGTTGGGGTGAGGGGTGAGAGAGGGTATTGCTGACATCAAGTAGGAAGAGGCCGGGAATGCTGCCCCACATCTTTCAAGGCACAGTGCAACGCAGCCCCCTGTCTGCTATGAGAGCAGGGCCGGGTCCAAAAATGTCAGTCATGCTGAGATTGAGAAACCCAGCTCCAGCTGTGGAGGGTTTAAACAGTGTGAAATAAGGCCACTTGTTAGGAAAATTCAGACTAAAGAAAATATCCTTTCAGTTGAAAAAGGTATCAATAATTTAAAGAATATTTTAAGGCAGAATTGTCCATAACCCTACCATTTCCATAAGACACATTTCTGTTCAGCATAAAACCTTCCTCTTCTGCCCAAATGAATATATTATAGATGTTTATAAAATTGCTGTTATGATGTATATACTATTTTTGCATTCTTGTTTCCACTTAAAAATATCACTTCATGGCATTTTCCTAGGAAGATTTTATTGTTTTGATGTAATAGAATCTATTAAACCATTCATTCTTCATTTCTTTCCTTCTTTTTATTTATTTTTTTCAAAGTAACTTGGGCAAAAGCAAGTACTCCGGTTTGAAATCTGGCTCTGGAGACCCGAGAATGGGTACTCATCAATGATTTTACAACAGTAGCTGTTTTCCAAGAAATAACTACTTTTGGAACATTCTAAGAAATTATCATGATGTAAATACTTTTATATAAGAAACATTTGCTACTTCCAAGAAAAATTTCACTCCTTACATGTTTTTTTATTAAAAAAAAAAAAAAAAAACACTTCTGTTCCCCCTCTTCCCCTCAATGTATTAGAGTACACACCATGGCTCTGCTCATTAAGATTGACAATGGGAAGCCCTGGCTTCTTCAGGTAGAGAACTCTTCACCTCTGGGTCAAGGAAGCCTCTAGCCTAGGCTGTAGAATGGAAGCCCACACACCAAAAGAATGGAACAGAATCTCACTTAACAAATCAGGATGTCAAAGAGAAAAATGCTAAAGCTCATGCTAATTATAACTACTTTTTAATGCAATGAATCAGAACAAGTTTGTATTTTAACACATGAAAACTGTTGGGATCAGTTGTATGCAGAGTCTAGATCTTGCTGGAAATCCTCTGTGAATCCTGGTGTCTTTTGAGCCTTCCTACACTTCCAAGCCCAAATAGTATTGCCTGGAAACCCCACTCCACACCACCTGAGATTATTGAGCACGTCTCAGGATTCTCACAAACTCCTCGAAGGTTTGTGGCTCTGAGTTAGTTCTCATTTCTCTAGATTCATTCAGTTAAGGGATCCTATCATCTTTCCCCACCTGCTTTTCTTGTTGTCTAATGTACCTGCTCAGACAGATCTTATCTCCTAAGTCAATCTTAAGCCCTTGACTCAACACAAATACCCCCAAAGTCACTATCCCCCCATAGTGTATGGATGCCTGTCACACCCTTGGTGGGGATAAGGGAGAGAGTATAACAAGCAACACGAACAACTTGGAAGCACATGGTGAATAGAGCAGTTAATCTAAGGTGACTAGATTTTAACATTGGTAAAGCGGGACACCCTTGACAGGGGGGTGGGGGGGTGTTCTTAATTAAAAATTTGGTCCATATGGAGCAACAAAAATTTTCATAGAACACAAAAATAGTATTATAATATATTTTTTTAATTTTAATATAATTTACAAATATAATTTAAAAATTATCTATAGTATTATTTTATTCTTTGGCATATTTCTCATTTGAGTGAATTTTTTTTTAGTAGATTGCTATCGTTGTTTAAAAGGTCATGAAATTTTTCACAAGAATTTGTTAAATTATATTTCACACATAAAATGGCTTTCAAAGTCTCAACACTAGTGATGTCCACACTTTATTTACTGTAGGAAAAATGTGTTCAGTCGCAGCATTAGTTCCTGGTAAGGACAGCGCGTATCCCACAATTGTTAGTGCATTATTGTATGGAACATGGTTTGTTTCAAAATGATGAAATATTTCTAGCCATTTGTTCTCTATTGTGATTTTTGCTGATGCCCAAGATTTAACCTTTTCCTCATCAATATATTTTTTTAATAATGATACCTTGTAAGTTGTAAGTGTCACTTTCAAAGCCAACGCTAGACTTTTTGCCGCCACTATAAAATATAAATAATATGAGTACTGTCTGCTAAATTCATGAAATAAATAAATGACTTACCTAAATTATCTGAATAGCTGATTTGTTGACATCACTTGTTTAACTAGCACTAGCATGCAGTACGATGTGTATCGTCTGAGAGACAGTTACAAAATGTTTTCGCGGTTGCCATTGCCAAAAAATGCCATTGTTCATTAAGTCCAAACAATGGTGGTTGAATTCTAACAACTGATCAACAGTGCAAACTTTGATAAGCAGTTCTCAATAATCAATTCTCAACAATTATTTGTTATTATTAAAGTTTAACATTATAAAATTAACAATAATAATATAAAATTCATATCCTGGCAAAATAGCCACATGGCAGCCAAAAACCACATATTCCCTTTCCCATTCTCCCGCCGTTCCCTAGCTTGCTGTGCATTATTTCCAAAAATCAGGACTTTTTTAAAACGCCGTGGGACGCAGACAAATTGTTAAAAGTTGGGACTGTCCTGCCAAATGCGGGACTTCTGGTCACCTTAAAAAGGGCTTTCGATCTCCTCACGACTGGGGACTCTCATGACAGTTCTCATATGGCACCCTCTCTTAGCTTGTCTGTGATCCTCTTCTTCCCTGATGGCCCTAAATTGTTCACACTAAGTTATACACAGCAGGTCAGCTCCCTTGAGTCCATACGACCCAAATCTGAGTCTCCCTTTTGCACCTCAAAAACAAACCAAAAAAGTCTTTAATTTCACTGGACCTACATTCCTAGAAGCAGTTATTATTCGTAGCAATTTATTTTCCTCCATCTTGAAAAGCCAGTGCTGTATATATGTCTACAGCTGTATCCATATGTCTAGTAATGAGCAGCCACTAACCTGGACTGAAGTGCATGGTCTCTGTCTATAAGGCGAGTTAGACTCTCATACCCGCGGTTCTGCTTTGGTTCACAGTTTCCTGCTTTTTAGCTCTAGCGTTCGAAGGATTCCTTCCATCCATTGGCCCACTTTTTTAGCCTCATTCTCCAAGGTTTGCCTCTGGTGGTCTCTCCTATGCCTCATCTGTGTTTACAGAATGTGGCTGAGCATAGAGATCGTAATTAACTGACTTACGGGCGGTCCTTGAGTGACGGGACTGAGGTGGCTTCTCTTGTGTGTTTCATTCAGACTCTGTAAAGACAGTGATGATCCAGTCCCTTTCTCTAATCCTCCAGTACCTCCTGGAAGGTAATAGATTTTCCATAATAATGTCAGCTGTTTCCTCAGATTCGTTTATTCCACAAATTAATTCATTCTACAGACACCCATTGTCTGCTATGGGCTCAGACATGAGGACACAGCAGCAAACATAAAGGACTTGCCCCTCTAAGGTTTGTTTCCAGCTAAGACATGTGATGACAGAATATTTTAGTGCAGGAAGTATGTGGGTGACAGCAAAGCAATGCTTTCTACCTAGTTTCAGAACTAGAGTAAACTCCTATTAGGGTTAAACGCTGTGGACAGAAGCAATGAAACTCTTTACCGAGTGACATGTTCCTCATCGCCTGAGCCCTGAAGCTGCCCATCAGCCACAGCTATGTTTTTCTGACAGTGATTTGAATGTGGGTGCTGTGAAATCTTTTTCTTCTTCAGGATAGTTTGGTCTGCCACAAAAAAAACAGTGTTACGTGAGCTTTAGAAATGATAGCCCTGTAAGCCTGAAAAAATAATCATCATAAAAAATTCTAATAGCCTTGAAACTTGAATTTCCTCTTCACTCTCTGTAAGATGACCAGACCTGCTCATCTGGGGGGGACGGGGAAGAGGAAAACAAGTTAGAAGACAAAGTATTTTATCATGCTTCAGGCTAACTATTATTATAAACTTAAAAATATAAATGACACCCCTTGATCCATCATGTGAATAAAATCCCACTCCAAACCACACGAATAAACTTTCTCCTTTTAACCCTTCTTGTTTATACTGTGAGAAGCTTTGGCAAAGACAGCAAGAAAAACTAGAAGCTTATACAATGACGATCAAGGTCATTAACTGAGAAAATCGGGCAAAGGGATTCCCTTCCCTACAAGCATTCAGCATCTCAGCAAGTGAATAAACACACACACACCCAAATATTATCAGGAAGACTTTATTCTTAACATTATTTTTTTAGGTTATCCACTTAACTCACCCTCTGAGATTTATAGTTCAATCATACCACTTCAGAGTGGAAAGAAAAAAGGCCATTTATCTAATCCTATTCCTTGGGAAGAAATACTTAGGCAATATTAAGAATCTTCAATTATCTAATTTAATAAAAGGAATGATTTATAGTCTGTAGTTAGTAACATGTGATCCTGATTATTTCTAATCCCTTAGAAGAGATCTGACATTATGCTTTTGGTCTTGTGTAGCATGAAATCGTCATGTATATTTTACCAAAAGAAGTAACAAGAATAATGGCCTCTGCAGTCTGCAGTCGTTTTAGACTAACACACTGCAACATGGTTTTGCCCTGGGGCAGAGAAGTAGGGATTTTTCTCTACTTCAAAAGAATGAAAAATTATCATCACTCTATTCTGAACCATTATAGACTTCAGAGACTTTGGCATGAAATATTCAGAAAGTTTATTTTAGAATTCAATATTTTAAAAAGCCTGCTTTAAAACTATTACAGTGATTAGTGGCTCTCTTGGTTGGACCAGTCTTTGGTTTAAAAAGTCCTGTGTCATGGTTGCTACTATTTGTTGTTTCAATAAAATATAATTTGCATCAATCATAGAAGCTTCATATAAAGGATGGAATACATTGTTCTGAAACGGCCCCCAAAGAGTAATTGTGACCACTGGTCGTCAGTTACCCTTTCCAACACATTTTTTAGTGAACGTTTCTCTTCCTGGAAGCAGTTTATATTGTTTATGTTGTGATTTTGTCCTTCTGACATCTACTGTCTTAACCATGTGGAGTGGGTGTCATTTTTTGGCTCCCTGTTCAGGGAACAATACCCCAGTCTCAGCAGTTCTAGGGACACACAAGGACAGCCCTGCTGAGGCCACCCTACCTTCAGTCAACCAGCCGGAAGTTCATACCTTCATCACTCTTCATGGGAGAAAGAGAAGCTTATTGGGTGTTGATGAGGATTTAACAGGGTTTCTAAGACCCTAAATGAAGCCACTGAAATTTTCTGGAGGGAGCATTAACCATGGGAGAATTGGAATGTAATCACTTCTCTCTGGAATATCCTATTTATGTAGGGAGGTGAGGAGGAATACAGTATAGAGACCTAATTTCAGAATTGAATGAGTCCAGTTTGAGTTCCAACACTGCTACCTATCAGCAATGTGATATTGAGAAAACTGCTGAGTTTCTATAGCTTCCTCAAGGCTCAGTGTACCTGTCCATAAAATGGACCAAACCCAGCATCAGTGCAAAGATTCAGTGAGATTATTCTCTATTCCCAAACTCTTTTTCTTAGCTCTTGTTTGTTTATCCCACATTTCTGTTACGTAATAGGTATATGTTTTTTAATATATCATAGCCATGTATCTAGTTATCCTAGTACAGGATAACTAAAAAAACAGTCATTCCTCCCTTTCTTATATAACCTATGCATTTGGCTTTATTCAAATACATTAAATATATTATTTCTGTAGGTTTTAATAAATACCTTTTTTTCTTCTCACCTTATTGATTAGGTATTATCAATGTTAAATAAAAAAAAAAGGCTCGGCGCCTATAGCTCAACCGGCTAAGGCGCCAGCCACGTACACCTAAGGTGGCAGGTTCGAATCCCCAGCCCGGACCTGCCAAACAACAATGACAGCTGCAACCAAAAAATAGCCGGGCGTTGTGGCGGGCGCCTGTGGTCCCAGCTACTTGGGAGGCAGAGGCAGGAGACTCGCTTGAGCCCAGGAGTTGGAGGTTGCTGTGAGCTGTAATGCCATAGCACTCTACCCAGGGGGACAGCTTGAGGCTCTGTCTCAAAAAAAAAAAAAAAAACAGGCATCAATCTTGGCCTTCAAGTAGATAACATCGGTCCCCCTTTACACTGCCGGACAAAGAAGTAAAGATTGTAACGTGCTCGTGATGCATGGTGCCGTGAGGATAGTGTGCGAGTAACTCTGTGTTTCATTCTCCAGGGAAGTAGATCGAGACTCAGATGGTCACGTCAGCTTTAGAGACTTCGAATATGCCATGAACTATGGACAAGATGAAGCCTAACTATTGTGAACTACTTTTGGCAATTCTGGGGTAATCAATCCACAGATGTGTTTAAAGGTTAAAAAAAAAAAAAAAAACTCCACTCTGCTAATGACGTAATGCTGCATCCTTGTGACTAAATCTTAATCATAAATTTTGGGTGCTGATGACCAGCTTGCACCAGGAGTCTCCTGCCTTCTGTATGGCCACCAGCCAAGTCAGGCCACCACAGCTAGCATGACTACCCCGTCACGCACACACACACACTGCAGGCAGGTGCTCCACGCATTTACTGCAGTGTCCTCACTGTCCCGCACCAGCTCCTGATTCTCATCAGCTCCTAATGTCTGGGAAGGGCCAGCTTTCTCCCACCCATGCTTCCACTTTCCTTCATTTGCTCAACTTTGGTTGGACAAACAGTAGCGCCTACATATGCTGAGAGCTTAACTATGTTCCAGGCAAGGAGCAGGACCTTGGAAAAACAGAGGCTCAAGACTGCTCTAAGATAAGTTAGTTCCCAGAATCCAAATCTTTGCTGCAAAGTGGCCCTAGGACGCTGGCTGTGCAAGACAAGGAAAGCAGATTGGACTAACACAAGCAAGCCCTCTCCAGCTATCCAGAGGAAGAGCAGAGTGCAGTAGAGAATTAGGGCAGAAGACACATTCCCAGAGCTCTTTTGGGTGACCTGGGCCTAGACTTCCTGCTGTAGAGAACTAAACCCCAGCCGGCCCAGCCACCTTCTTCTGCACAGGAGTTGCAGTTCTGTCCTGCACCCAGAGACTCCACAATCGCATGGTCATGTCCTCCATGCCCTGCCTGTCCCTTGGGGTTCTGGTGACCGTTGTACTGGAGCAGAAGCACTCATCATTTATTTTGAGTGATTCCAAACTATTGCTATCAATATTAACATTATATTTCTAAGTGTTCAGAACTCCTAATATTAACAACATTAGTAAAACAATATATAATATACTTCACATTTTCAAAGCGTTAAACATGTAAAGGTCAAGTAAAAATGTAAATTTGTTAAGTAGAAGCATTAAACTAGCATCTGTCTCACCTACATTATCAGCAGATAACTTCAATAAAAATAAAGTTTAAAGTGTCATAAACAAGAGGAGTCTAAAGAGATGTGACAACTAAATTGGTATCTTGGTTGGGAATATGGAACAGAAAAAGGCCATTAGTTAGATAAAAACAAAGCAAGCATGGACTTTAGCTAACAATAATGTATCAATAGTGTTTCCATATCCATGTAACATGTTACTAGCCGCGGAAACTGGGTGAGGGGCATGTGGGAACTCTCTGTTCTATTTCACAGTTTTCCTGTAAATCTAAAACTATTCGAAATTTAGAAGTTTGTCAAAAAATAAAATCTTATTCAGAAACTAACAAACTTTATTTAAAATAAAGAAAACATTGAAAATCAATTATAAATATTATTTCAAAAACAATGTAGATTAATAGTATCACCGAGTGTTTGTGGTTTTTTACAAATTGTTCCAGATACTGAAAAGCCCTTTCTGACTTTGGGTAGAGTTTTGTTCAGCAAGTATTTTTATAATAAATTGAATCATTGATTCTGATCCCAAAACATAAATGATAAGAGATTTTAGATTTTCAAAATATCAAAATTAGAGTAATACACCAACAAACTGGCATTATTCAGTAATTGCCAGAATACAGAAACCTCCTACTGTGGTCACGACTTGGACTTGATTTCTCCTGGGAAACACGACAGGGAAGGGGTCACTTCCCACAGCTGATGTGGAGGCAAGAGGCCAGGTTGGGAATAGCTATTGGGCAACTCCCTTGGCCCTCGCTTAGTCAAGGTTCTTTTTGGTCTAATCCTACCCAAACTAGCTTGGACTGCTAGGGAATTTACTGGAAGACATAGGGCTGGCTGAGGGAATCTAACACAGGGACAGCAGTGGTGCAGCTGGTTTCCAGGATCATGAACCAGCAACACTAGTATCTCCAGACTCTGCCTCTCTCCTGTAATCACCGGAGTTGGCCTGGGATCCATCCAGTTTCAAGTCCAGAGACCCCAGGAAGAGGCTCTGCCACAGCACTGTACCCAGGGCAACAGCTTGAGACTCTGTCTCAAAAAAAAAAAAAGAGGCTCTGGTTGGCCTCTGGATCAGCCAGCTCTGGTTCATCCCAGGATATGGCCATGGTCGCTGGGGTCTCACCCTGGTGTACTGAGGACAGGTTCCACAGAGAGGAAGCTGGTAAGATCTGGGCAACAATTCCATCTTCTTCCTCAGAAGAAAAGAAGCTGGCTAGGGCCCAGTCTAGAAAGGAATGCAATCCTAGGGTTTGCTGCTTAGGAGGATCCACTCTTAGAGCAAAGACAGAAGGAAAGGGAGAATAAGAAGCTGCTTGCTCAAGTTACTTCTCCTTCTCTCAACTCCCTAGGCCTGATCCATTCCTCATCCCCTGAGCTCCCCCCACCCCACTTCCAGGCCCTGGGCACGCCCCTTGGCCACATGCTGCTGTCTGTGCACAGTGGCCTTATTGATCTAAGCTCAGCTCAGCGGCCCAAGGGTGGGCATCTGTGCAAGCCAATCAACTCAACTTGGAAAACATCCAGGGTGAGAGTGGGAGGTGGCAGTGCTCCCAAGAGGCCGGGTGAGAGACCTGCCTCCGGAGCGAGTGGCAGACAGAGCAGAAGGAGGTGGCCAGTTTGCACTGAGAGCAGAGCAAAGGAAAACAGACACCAACATGGGAGCAGGAAAGGAGGCGGTGCTGGGCTTCTGGTTAAAGCTTGTGTGCAAGGCCCAGTCCTTTGGGTCCTGTGAGGTAACCCTGAATCCTTCCAATAAATCCTTCTGCTCAAGCCAGCTGGAGTTGCTTTCTGTGATTTGAAACCAAGAAAATCCTAACTGTTGTAAACATGGGGCCAAGGACGGAGTCCTAGGCAGGATTAACATTTAGTGGGGCAGCAGAGAAGAGTCTTCTAAAGAGACTTGAGAGGAAACAGTCGAAGATTAAAGGGAAAGCTGTTGCCACCTCTGTCCGTGGTGCCTGCCACAACCCGACCTCTAATAACCCACCTCCACCCTTCCCCATTGCAACAGCTCTCAAAGATGACCAGTGAGCCCCAAACGGCCAAACCCTCCAGCCCCTCTGGGTCAGTCCTGACAGTGGTACCTTGATCTTTTTCTCTTCTCATCTCCATGGTATTTCTGTGCTGGGCTGTCCTTTTCTGTTTTCTCTTCTGCCGTCACCCCATAGTGTTCCTCTTTCCCAAGGTCCTGTAATTGGCCAATCTTCTTGATCAACACATTCTCCAAGGATGATTTCACACACTGCCGAGATGTTAGCTATCATCTCTGTGGGTATAACTTCGCAAACAAATCTTGAGTTTTGACCTCTGCTCAACTCCAGACCCCTATTTTCATTTGCCTGTCAGACATTTCCACCTCAATGCAAACGCACTGAACTAAAATCAGACTTGTTGTTACCCCTCCCCCCCATTTTCAAAACTGGTTTCCCATTTTGTGTTTTCTGTTTCTGCTGATAGCCACCAACCTGTCCTCCTCCCAGAGCTGTCATCCAAGCCAGCTTCTGTGGGGTTCTCTTCAAGTCTCCCCCATCTTCCTTAGCTCCCACATCCAGCCACTCACTGCACCCTTTCAAGCCCTTCTCTGGGAAACATTCATGACACCGTCTTCCATCCCTTCCCAGTCTCTCTGCCAAACCCCTTAGTCTCTCTCCAGTCCTTCCATCCAGAAATTTGTTCTTCTATCACTCGTATAAAAATGAGTAATAGATGTGCAAGTAACAGGCAGGCCCTGCTGTCAAGAAATTTTAGTCTAGCGTGTCAGTTATCTTCCCAAAGCACAGACAAAATTACTTTTTCTCTGCTCAAAAGCTTTCAGTGGCCACATTTTCTATTAGACAATGTCTAAACCTATAATACACCATTCAAAGCCCTCAATAATCTGGTATCAATTTCTATTTTCGGTTTCATTGTGCACAACTACTTCTGTCATACCACCCCACAATGCAGTAAACTCACACATACACACCGCCCCTTCTCCCCAAAATGCTAAGATAGTGATAGATCTTTGTCCCAAGTCACAGTCCTGGAATTAATATCTAAAGAGTTAATAGGAAAATACAATCATAAAATAACAAAACTCATTTTAAAAAACATATTGGACCACCTTTATCCTAAGGAGTATTTTTCCCCTCACCGTTGTCACCTTGGGAAGGGGGACTGATTATTCTCGGTATTTTGTTTATTCTTGAAACTATTGAGATAGATGTTAGTCATCCTCTTTTATAAATGAGGGAACCATCTCAAAGAGTCCAAATAATTTGACTCAGGACAAGTGACGGGGATGGGTGGAGGGTGTCAGGGTGGTGATGCAAACTCAGCAGCCTGACTAAAAACACGCCTTTCCTACCATTCCACAAAACCTCCAGTGGGAAAATTTATGACATTGATTCGTGTTCAATGGTCACACTTTGTTTTTGACCTAAAATGAATTTACCCAGATTCGTTGACCAAATGAAGACTCTAGCACATCGCAGATATTAAAAATTAATTCTCATCTTATGTAACCAAATTTTGTAAACAAAATTACATTGGGTTATTTATCAAACCCACTTTTTTTTTTTTGAGACAGAGTCTCATTTTATCATCCTGTGTAGAGTGCTGTGGCTTCATAGCTCATGGCAACCGCAAACTCCTGAGCTGAAGAGATCCTCTTGCCTCAGCCTCCCTAGAATCTGGGACTACTGGTGTCTGCCACAACGCCTGGTTATTATTTAGAGACAGAGTCTCACTTTTGCTCAAGCCGGTGTCAAACTCCTGAGGTCAGGCAATCCACCTGCCTTGATCTCCCAGAATGCTAGGAGTACAAGTGTGAGCCACTGCGCCTGGCCCAAAACCACTTTCTTTTTTTATTTTATTTTATTTTATTTTATTTTATTTTATTAAATGATAGCTGTGTTCATTAATGCAAACATGGGGTACAGTGTAGTGTTTTCATGTACAATTTGAAATATTTTCATCAAACTGGTTAACATAGACTTCATGTCATTTACTTATTGTGTTAAGACATTTATACCCAAACCCACTTTCTAAAGACCAAGATTAAAAGGCACTGCAAGCATACTCAAAATGCAGTTTGGGGAATGCTCTGAACAATGGAAGCAGCTTTGAAATAGGTGTGCATTCTCACTGGGCAACACTGGCTTATATATATCAATTCTCTCTACGTGGTACCTATGCTTACTACTTT